TGGTGGCTCTTTACAGGACAGTTGGACTGTTCTCGAGGAATATCACGAGGTGCTTCCTTCGACAGAAGCTTGCACACATCATGAAGGACAAGTTTGGAGTGGAAATCCAAATGAGAGTGATTATTAAAGTTCCGTTTTCAACGCTGATCGATCTGCGTGCGATTAGGGACTTGGTCGTGAAGGTAATCTCAATCTCCTGTCTGGATGTGTATATCCGGTCACTCGTGGTAGAGAGGCTGACGATTGTAAAACTTAAGAGTAGAACTGTCGCTAGTATTATTCATAACTATAGACAAGTTCTAGAAAAACAGTTGGAGGTATGCAGATGTGTAGACTTGCATCTGGATGATTTTCAGGGGCATGTTCATGTGAGATTAGATGATATTGAGGGTGTGGACAATTTCGTTTGCAACTCAAGGAACATCACATGTGGAAAAACCCTCACTGCGTTCAAACTATTGGAAACGATCTACCATGCCATTCCGAGGCGATGGAGGACCAACATGTTGCAACTGGTCTATTATGACATTGGTCAGTGTTTCAGCATTAAGAGTGGGAAGGTAGATGCGCTGACTGAAAAACAGGTGTTACGCCAAGTTCGTGATCTTCAGGATTTGGTTCTTGTTCCGGTGGAGAGGAATCCAGGTGCCACGCTGGTCATCTGTCCGACTCTTTACATGCACGCCTTCCGTTTGACTTTTTGCTAGAACTCCGGCTTCTGTCGTCTGAAGGAGTCAGAGACACGGATCTTGGCCCAGTCGAAGAATGCGTATTGGGAAGCAGGACTTCTGTCTGTTGCCACGTGGCGTACATATGGAAAATTGGGTAGAGTGTATGTTATACAGAAGGATAAAGACCATGGGAGGTGGCGACGTGGTCCGAACCGTCACGCACGACCAGTGCCAGGTTGGGGAGGGCGCTTCAATATATGTTGTTGTGTCTTCCTCGAAGTTGGCATTTCAGTCTGAGATCCACTGATGATCTCAAGGAGGCAGTGACGAGGGCTATTATAACTTTGAAGTGCACCGGTGGCAGCGTTGAAGCCTGAAACTTTGACATTAAGGATATGTTGGCAAAGTTAACCCATGAGGACATCGTTGCGTCAATTATGTGGCTCGTGCGGGTTCACGAGAGGAGAGATTTGGTCTCGGTCAAGGTGAGTGTTCGGGGGAAGGTGTGCAGGATGTCCAAGACGACAAGAAGAGAAGATGGATTTGTGGTTTTGTCCTTTGAAAACCTGATCGTGTTGCTCGAGTACGAACTTGGACACACATACACGATATGTGATGGGCAGGTGTACCAACAAGTGTTTGGGATCCCCATGGGTAAGCACTCATCTCCAGCATTGGCGAACTCCAGACACAGGGCATATAGACGCTCACGATCTATAATTCTACGAAGCTCTCTAATCTTCGGGGGGGCCGAGCGAGGACCCAATCCCCGGACATTAAGGGACGCTATTCTAACTTCCAAATTTAGTGCTATACTATCCTATGGGGTTCCAAAGTGCTAATTTGGTTATGTACAGTAAGTCCTATCAGGGTTATTAGGATTTAGAGTATTAACTAGGGATGAGCGATTCATAGCGTAAGCGATGATATTTTGTATTAATAACGTGGTCTGTGATATTTTACACGGCTCTGTCCTTCATGCTCCCAATCAAGGCAAGGTGTTCCTCCCATCTGAAGTCTGGGTTTTATTCTAAAACTGTCAGTTCTATCCTCCTCGCCTCATCCTTCCACATCCTCCTCCGAGGTTCGGTCCTCTATGCTTCCGGCAGGGCAAGGTGTCCGTTCCTTCTGCAGTCTGGGTTTCATTATGAGACTGTCAATTCTGTCCCCATCGCCTCATCCTTCCCCGTCCTCCTATCATCACTCGGTAGTGGACGGTTGTGTCCCTGCAACCACTCTCGAGCGTCGTCTTCTCTGTGCGCGCTGTAGCAGTCTGTCGGGCTGATGCTCTTCGGCGCTGTTGTCCTTGCGCAGCTGCCCTTCGCTGTGGGCGGGGTCACATACGTTGTTCTGTGAGCCATTCCTCCGTTCGGCGTCTCGACAGCTCATTGCACGTTCCACGATTGTTCGACGTTCCTTTGGTAGGCTGGTCGGTGTGACGTGCCTACGTGCGCCTTGGCCATCGCTCCTTGCGGCTGCTCGTTACACCCGCTACCTGGTTGATACTGCCAGTAGTCATATGCTTGTCTCAAAGACTAAGCCATGCACGTCTAAGTGTGAACACTTCGCAGTTTCTTTTTTTGAAAACTCACACACACACATACCCCTTCTATTCTGGGGGGCAACAGTCCGGTTACTTATCACCGACAAGCAAGTATAGACTGTGAAAAAGAACAGACAGACTAGACAACATTTGAGGTTTTTTGGAGGTATCGACCCCGACAAGCACCTTGAGTCGCATGCGGCGGTTTAAGAAAATCACTGAACTCGGGTCTTCACCCCCCTGAGGAGGGAAGTTGTCGGGAGGCGAACCGTACCCAGTCGCAACTTCCCCCTTCAGGGGGTCAAAGGCCCGCTAGAGTGGCTCCTCTCCCGTCGCTCCTTCCAAGCACACAAACCCTCCTCCTTCCCCTATCCTTCCCCTTTTGTCTCTCAATCCTATTCTAGTCCCCTTTCTCTTTCCCTTCCCCTTTCCTCCCCCTTCGCCCTAATCGCTCTAAACCCCTCAGCCTTTTCGGCACTGTATATGCATCCCCTCTGTCTACTCCCAACACCTCGGCCTTTTTGGCATTGTAGTTGTTTTTGTCTTTCAAAATCTCCTACGGCTTATCCATTGCCCCGTATTCCATCCAGTATTTCCGAGTTCTCAGCCAATGTCCTATATTCTATCCTCCCTGTGTTTCCTCTCCCCCCACCCTTTATCACACGTTTTTCCTCAGATACTGTTCGTGAGGCCCATCCTCCCTGTCTCCCTTCTCCCCCTCTCCCTTTATCACACAACTTTCTCTCCCTTCTTTTTGTTTGCGAAATCCTCCCCTATTTACACCTATCTTCCCTCCCTTCATCGCCTGTGCACTCTCATCAGCCACCCAATGCATTCACCAGGTTTTACCTCCCCAAGTGTGAATCGTATTTTCTTATCTCAACGTTACCTTCCCGCCCTCTGTACATTACCTGACCCAGCTTATCCTGACGACCCTACGTACTTCAGCATTTTACATCAGTCCATTCTGGGTCTCCATCCATTCTACTTTCCCGCATTTCCCATATCCCCGACCCCTCTGTTTCCTGAGTCCCCACACTCCCCTGTCTCTGTCCCTCCTCCTGTGTGTCTACATCTAGCTTGCCTCCCCGTCCTCTGTGCTTTCCAGTCTACTCACATTCCCTGTGTCTCCACCCCTCTATCTCCTAAGTCCCAATTTTCTACATCTAGCTTGCCTACCTGCCCTCTGTACATTCCCAATCCTAACCTATCTTAACAACCCTGCTTGCTTTATCATTTTACATCGGGGAGTCATCCTCCCCCAACATAGTTCCATATGTCCATTCGGAGTCTTCATCCGTTCTGCTTTCCCGCATTCCCCGTATCCCCGACTCTGTTTCCTGAGTCCCCACACTCCCCTGTCTCTGTCCCTCCTCCTGTGTGTCTGACTTCTCGCCAGCCGGCTCCGGGTTTTCCTGTTCCATGTCTGACTATGTCTCCCCACTTTCAGCCTGAGATCCCATTATTTGTCCCTATTCCCATTGATCCGGGTTTTCCCCAATCCACACCACAGTCTCAAAACCTGACCAGGCATCCTTTAGAAAACGCCACCCCCCCCCTTCTCTTTTTTGAACATCCGCCATTATGGCCATCCTCAGGTTCATTAGGAACCAATTCCGCAGGGTAACGACAAATCCCTTCTTTTCTTGTATCAGTAGTCTTCCTCTTATCGCCTATACTGCTGCGCAGAATGCTGCACGTATCACCTCCCCTGCGTATGCCCGCACCAGCGACGACTCTCGGCCAACCAACAATTGCCCCACCAGAACCGCTCCCCTAAATTCTGGGCGTCCCAGGCCTATTGGCACCTTCTCCCCCAATGATTTCCACCATTCCCAAAACTCTAACTGCCAGGTGCAGTCCAACCATAGGTGCGGTATAGTCTCCGTCTCTTCACCACACGACTAACATCCTGTGTCCCCGTGTGCACTGTGCTGCGCCATCCACTGAAAAGTGGGTATAGCCAATTGCAGGTTCATCCACAGCCCCCCTGCCTGTTTCTGGTCCGGTAGCATGTTCAGTAGTGAACATGTCTCCTCCCAAACAGACTGTGTCCAGCCTTCCAATTCGCTCTGTTGCGGCCATCCCCTTTTCTGCCACCTTCCCCGCATCTCTTCCACCATATCTATTGGCACGTTCAAAGTTCTGTAGATGACTTTGGTAGAGGTCTGATGCAGTGATACCCCTTGCCGTTGCGAATTTGTGGCTGCCCATTCCCACATGGACGGGTCCCATGTCACCTGCAGCGGTTGCTGTCTAATTTTGAAGGGTCTGTATCCCCCCCCATCTGTAACAACTCTGTCTCTTAACACAACCACGGCCCTCATGTTGCTTTTGTGTATCAACCCATCCCTTTCTGGCATCCTTTGCATCCTCTCCCCCAAAGCTCCTTCTATGTGTTTAACTTCCCAACCTTCTCCCCCGAACCAATCCCCCCTTTCTTGTTTGACCAATCTGAATAGGGTGTTTTGCGGCTCTTCGGTTCTCAGCGCTATGCACTCCCCTCGGATCCTCTCATCCCTTTCCATTCTTCCCACCCATTCCATCGGGATGGTCTGTCTCAAGCGAGCCAGTCTGATCCTCCTGTCCGGTTGGTGTCTCAGAAGTTGGTCAAGCACTTCATCCTCTTTCCAACCCCCCTTCTCCCTGTCCCATAAATCCCCCACCCTGTACACCCCACACTTCGGCCACTGTCGTCCAAAGGCTCCTTGTTTCCCTTGCCAGGGAAACGGATGGCCATTCTCTCCAATGTGCCAAAAAGTGATTGTCCAAGTATCTGGTCAATCGACTGGGGTGCTTTCTGTCTCAAGGGGGATTTCCTCTATTTCTCCAACATCGGTGACCAGAGTTCATCTCGAGTGAGTCCCTGTTGCAACTACGGGTGCAGCAGCACCGTCTCTACGTCCGCAGGATCCACCCCCAGAGCCTGTGCCATCCTGTGTAGTGTGAGGATCTTCCAGAGGTCATCATCCCTTTCCAGCAGGAGCCAAAGCACTGTTCTCATTTGCAGCGTTGTTGCTTGCTTGTGCAGATCCAACAAGCCCAACCCTCCCACCCGTCGCGGCTGTATCAATTTCTCCCACCTCACCCTGTATAAGATGTGGCACATAGGGGTCATTTTTCCATAGGTATCTCCGGAGCGCCGTCTTGTACCTTCGCCATGCTCTGTTCCCTGGGTCCGACAGTGGTGCCACGTACCACAAAGTGGATGACACCGCATTGTTCGCTACTAGCACTCTCCCCACCACGCCCACCTCCACCCGGCCCGTCCACCTGTGCATCTTTGTCAAGGTCACTGACAACAACTCCTCCATCTGTTGGCCCGTCGATAGCGCCGCCGGTATCATGATGCCAAGGTAACGTGTGTTCTGTTCTTGTGGCAGGATGCGCATCTCTGGAAAGCACGCCGCCTCTCCACCCTCTGGTAGCAGGACCAACGATTTTGCCCAGTTCACCTTCGCCCCTGCAAAGTGATGGAAGGTTTGCACCAGTGTTCGCAGCGCCTGCACACAGTCCTGTGAACATTCCACGAATGCTGCTGTGTCATCCGCGAAGCTATTCGACTTCAGGTCTTGACCCTGCGGAAGATGGACTCCCCGGATCCCGTGGTCCGCCCGGATCATATCATGAAGATGCTCAACATACAAGACATACAATGTCGGTGATAAAGGACACCCCTGCCGAACCGATCGCGTGACGCTCAACAATCCTGAGCAGAAGTCGTTTATCTGCACTCTCGTAGTGGCGGTTGCCAGCAAACATCCCACTGCTCTCCCAAACATATCTCCAATCCCTCTTTCCTCCAACCCTTGTATCAAGAATCGCCATCTAACTCTGTCATATGCTTTTTCAAAGTCCAGAAGCAGAACCGCTACTGGTGGCATTGTGTCAGCAGCTCTGTGCAGGACCTCCCTTGCCATGATGGCGTTGGTTAGAATCTGTCTTCCTGGAACAAACCCCGTCTGGGTTGGATGGATGAGTGATAGGAGGAACTTCGTCATTCGATTTGCCAGGATTTTTGCATATAATTTGTATGGCGCTGACAATAACGATACTGGTTTCCAATTCTTGATATTTGTTAAATCTTCCCTCTTATGCAGCAGGATGATGGTCGCCTCCCCAAACCCCTCCGGGAACCGTTGCCCTCCTACAAAGGATGCATTGCACAATTCTTGTAGCAGTGGCATGAATACTTCTTCTGCAGCCTGAAGATGATCCATCGGCAGGCCATCCGCGCCCGCCGCTTTCCTTTTTGGCATATCTGCAAATGCTTTGGTTATCTCTTGACTCGTTATGGCTTCCTCTAGTTCCCAGCTCTGCTCTTCCCGCAGTTTGGTCGCTGCCTTTTCCCAGATCCCAGTTCGTGCAGCCTCCCTCATTTCCTCCTTCCCCCATCTCTCTGACTCCATGTACAAATCTGAATAGAAGGTCTCCGCATACCGCAATATCACCTGTGTGGTCTTCGCCACTGGCTCGTCCGTCCGAAATGGGTGCTGCAGTGCGGTAATTACCATGGCTCTTCCTCTTGTTTGCATTTGCCCAAAGAAGGCAGCCGACATCCTCTCTCTCAATCTCACCCACTTCGTTTTAGACACCACCCTCCATTTTCGTGCATCTTCCTTTTGCCACTCCTCCCACTGCGCTTTAAGCGCCGCCCACTGTATACACCATTCCTCCTCCTCTCCCTCTGGGGGGTCCGCTCCCAGGTCTTCCAATCTTTCGCCGAACTCTTGTCCTGTCCTCATATGTGCTTGCCTTGTGGCTTTCGCTCTTGCTAACAAGAGGTTGGCCAGTTCCTGCAGCCCCGTTTGAAAGTGTTTGGCCGCTGATGTTCCCGGGGTTCTCAATTTCTCCCAATATTCCCAATGCTGCCTTATCAGTCTGATATGCAGCAGGTCCCTAAACATCCAATGGGGAACCGTTGGCGGCGGGGCCTGTGTTTCCACCAGAGCTGGGGATAACACTTCTATCATCAACAGTTTATGGTCTAAGAGCGCCACCGGTCTGGTTGCCACTCTCACCAATCTGTGCATCACATCCTCTTGCAGCCATGCCATGTCCAATCTGCTCCTTCTCCCCGGCCCCGGCCCTGTCCATGTGTATCCTTTCTCCCCCGGCCAAGTCTTCCTAAAGGCATCTTTTATTTCCAACTCCGCCATCATTTTCTTTAAAGCCTCCGCATCTGGCCGAATCTGTCCCCCTTGTGCAGAGTTCAATCCTGGGCAGATCACAATGTTAAAGTCCCCCATCAACATTGTGTTGGTGGTTTCCGGGACATGTGTAGGTAGCTCCCTCCAAAACCACTTCCTATCTGTTGTATCCGAGGGGCCGTAAACCGTTGTCACCAGGTACTTCTGACCATTCATCTCCATCCATATCCACACCCACCTCCCTTGTGTATCTACAAGGAAGTCTAACACCTCCCCCTGGAAATACCTAGTCGTTATAATCGCCACTCCTCCCATCGTTCCCATTGTCGGAGCCGAGATCCGGAATCCATCCCCAAACTCCCTTCTCCCATCCCGCGGGATTCTCTCCTCCTTCAGCCTAGTCTCCTGCAAGCACAGGATGTGTAGTTTCTCCCTCTCCACTAGTTTCCGCAATTCCCTAGTCTTCCACTTAATGGATCGTTCACCCAACCCTCTCACATTCACTGTTCCTAATCTAAACACCTTCCTCATCTATTCCAACCCACTATCTCCCTATCTGACCCTTTGGGGGTATACATCATTCCTTCCCTGGCCCCCTCCCTTCTCATGCCGTTCTTTCTTCCCTCCCTCTGTCCCCCTCCCATTTCGGGCTCACCTGGGGGTATTCGGGGATGCCGTATTAACCGTAACACTCGATCTCCTTGAAGCTGTTTTGGGATACCTGTGCTGGCTTACAGAGGAGCTCCCATGTTGTCCCGTTGTCGGGCGGCTCCAACCCTACGCCGCCCTTTACTTCCCGTGTAAGGGCGCGCGACAAAATCCTTGTTTGGCAACACTGTACCTGGCCGGGACTTACAGATCATGAGGCGGATCGACGCGACGAATAGGGGGCTACCGACATTTACCGACCGTGCGGCGAAATGACACTACGAAGAGCGGGGGCCGACACTCAGGAGTCAGGATTGGAAAGGGCTCGGGCAATAGAAGGCGAATGGTGGGACCGGTCCTTTCCAAGGGGGCCCTGGTCGATTTTTCTTCAAAGGGAGGTACCACTGAGCGTGGGGACCGCCTAGGCCCGAATAGGCCTCGGGCAGGCTCGGGAATAGCCTCGGTACGAGGGCGCTGCAAAGGGCGCGGTTCCCGACAGGGAGGCCCCTTTCGCCGGGAACTTTTTTGAGGGCCCAAACAGGCTCAGGCACAGGCCCGGTACTGAGGTGCTGCAAGTTGCCGGCAACCTCGATGCACACAAGGGCGGAGACTCATACCTTGAAGGGGGCCCGACAGAGCGTTTAAGCCAAACCGGGCCCAGATCCGGGACACTTTCGGCATGCATGGACATAGGCGCACAGGGAGGAACACGCACGGAGGAGGGCACATGGAGGCAACACGTACAGACGAGGGCACACGGAGGCAACACGCACGGACGAGGCGCGCACGGGGGCAACATCCAGGGCACTTCTCACAAGCGGGACAGGAGAGCGCACGGGGGAAGAACACGCAACGGAGTGACACGCAGGAGGACACATACGGAGGAGGCAACACGCACGACACTTCCCGGGGAGCACGAACGGGAGGCGCTCCTAGGACACAGATGGAGGGGAAAGACGAACGGGCAAGGACACTCGAACGAGCACATACGGGACACGGAGGTCGCACGAGCTCACGCGTCCATAGCCGCGCAAGGACGATAGGTGCAGGGACGCTCCCACAGACACAACGCACGTGCGCACGGACGCGCACAACCATTCTCGCGCCCCAGCGGGTGTCAGCGCACGTATGCGCACACGCACGCCGCCAATCCCACGCACTTGCGGGCGACAGCGTGGATGCGCGTGCAGGAACGCGACCGATCCCGCGCACTAGCGAGCAACACGCGCGTAGCCATTCCCTCGCACTAGCGGGCGACAGCGATGGGTGCGCGCGCACGAGCGCGACCATTCCCGCGCTCGCTGTCATTCTAGCGCACGGTAAGAGGGAGGCAGTAACGCGGGCATGCACACGCACGTGCGGACGGGACAAGTGGATTACGCTGCGTGCAACTGCATGCACGCTCGCGCACAGCCGAGAGCGGGCTGCGATGACGCCACACACGGGCTGGAGCAGGGAGACAAGCTCCCTTACATAGTTCGGCGCACCACGCGCTGTCGAGCTCATCGGTCCGGCACCTCACGTTGCAGCGGGGGACCCTCCCGGCCACGTCACGCAGGAGTTGGTTATAATCCTTCGTCGCAAAATATACATGGAGCTTCCGCAAGCCGCTCCGCCCGAGTGCGCCAGCCATACCTCTCGCGAGCCCCTACGACAAGATAGGGCCTACGCGAGGCACGACTTCCCTCCCCCTTACGGGAGTTGTCCCCTCCCTTCGGGGGGCGTATCCCCGCCGAGCTACCAGTCCACAGTACGAAAG